AATAATATAGTAATAATTATAATAAATGTAAAATAATAGTTAATAAAGAAAATAATAAAGATTGAAATCAAAAAAAACACATAAATTAAATATAAAAAATATTATTTAACATTAAATGTTATAAAAAAATGATACAATAAACGGTTATTAAATGACCATTTTTATAATGTAAAATGAATATTTTGTACTTTTAACATTATTAAACGCCATTCTAAAACACTATAAAAAATTCGTACCGTTATGATTAACAATATACGAATGCCGATATACAACGTTATTAATATGAAACGTTTGTTATACGTTATAAAATGACAATATATAATGTTATATAAACGCCATTCATAAAACATAATACAAACAGAGTGTTCGTATAGCATTCTAGAACATTACGTTCTAGTACGTTGGTGTCGTTCTAGAACACTATTCGAACGTTCCGTTCGTATAATGTTGTAGAACATTATATAAAAATTCCTAATGATTAAATTTCTGTAATTTTTTAAATGTAATATTATGGAATTTTAACATTTTAATAACTTTCAAAAATTTCCATAAATTTTTGTAATATTACACGAAAAATTATGGAAATTTATTACCATGTTAAAATTACAGAATATTATGTTCAAAAAAATTTTTTGATGTCTGGATAATATTGCGAATAAAATTATTGTTTCAGAACTAGGCCCATATACTTATATAACAAAGAATTATTTTTGAGCATAATAAAATAACTATTTACCACTCTACCATGTGAACATATATTCCATCATGCATGTCTTGAAAAAAGTATAATCAATGATCTAGAAATTTGTCCTGCTAATAATTGTTTTAAATCTTTTAAATTGGAAGTATCAGAACTACCACCTTTTTCATCTCAAGATAATATGAGCATCCCAATGCAAATTTCATCACAAATGGTATATAATCAGAACTGAGATAAAATAACTTCAGAAATTATAGCATTTTATACTTCTAATCTATATCTTTCATTGTATCTAAACTATGTGGAGCAGATCAAAAGTAGTACACCTAAACATAAAAAAAGATTACGTGAGGATGGTAGAAAAAAAGAGCTGCTGAGTCTAAAAAAAATAATTGATGAATTGTCCACTGAAGATTTGGATAAGTCGAAGACTCTGGGCTCTACCCATTCTGTGAAAAATATTATCACACAATCAAGTTTGGTATCTACTGCTGAAAATAATTCTGATCTAGTTGATTTTTTCAGTCTGTATCACCAAGTTGTAAAAGCTGATAATAATAATAAAAAAACCATTCAAGATGTTATTAGAGCCTATTATAATTTTGGACGAGATCTTAGAAAACACCTTAAGCACCATAAAAAAATCCACAAAAAACAAGTTTCTCAGATTTTAGTAAATGATGAGGTTAAGAGTCAACTTCCCAAAGAGATAAGTAATAATGCATTGTGCAAGAAAATAGAAAGAGCCTGGAAAATTTATTATTTTTTTGATGCTATCGGTGAGGACAAAATAGGTAGAATCAGATCTTTTACTGCATCATCCATTTTTAAATTAAGTCAGGAAAATATCGATCATGTAATACTTAACATTATGAAAAAACCAAAGTAAACCGCATCGTCTAATTACTGCGCATAGTGTGACCATGACACTAGTGTCATGTTCTCATTAAAAAAAATATGTGCCTTAGCACTAGCTCCGCTATTAATAAAGTTGCCTAGTTGCTAAATTTATTTTTATTGTAAACTGTAAATTAATATGCGCTGATTAAATATCTTCATCGGAAAACATTGAAAACGTGTCATTTATCTCATCTTCATCATCGTCATCAGATAATATTGTGTTTATACTGTATCTTTTATCTTGTCTTCATCATCATCAACATCACCATAAGATTCCTTATTATAGTCTTTTTCATTACCGTTTTCATCGTCATCATTTTGGTGGATATATTTACTTCAACTTCCGGTGATTCTCTAAAGATGAAACGGAAGGTATTACGAGTTATAATTCAATGATGTAAACATATAATGTATCTTCATATGAGGTCAAAGTTAAATAAATATTCCCACTGGTTACAGGATAGAAAATCCGCAAAAATGCAAATTATTTGTCTCTGTCTTATTATTCCTGTTGTTACCGTTGTTATTCCTATTCTGTTAATTACGCTTCCATTCGTTATTTTAGTATTATTTCTGTTTTCTCCTATTTTAGCTTTGATACTATTTATCAGGTATAGTTAAACAAAATATAAATATGTAAATAATCGATCTGATATACCTTTTTTTTTTTAACCTAGATTTTGTCTTATGTCTTTCAGCACTTCAGACGAGAATTTTTTGGAACTTACCACTCCGTTGACTTCCGAAGTCCCTGCTTGTTTTAAAGGTTTAGAAAAACCGTGGGCTGAACTTATAAAAGACGGAAGAGGTTAGATTTATTAACACTATTGTTAAATACAGTTCGTTATTTGTATTAAAGGATATTATATATAGATTTTCGTAAAGAACCTTGGTTTGAAACACACATTAAATTAGCAAAAAGTAAGTACTTATTTATAGTTTACTGTTTTACTTATGAATATTTCAGTAATAATTTTTTAATTAATTATTTTGCAGAAGAAAATATTACACCTCTAGAACATTTTGCCAAATTTGTAAGACGTACAGAGGAAGTGCTACAAGAGGACGAAAAAGAACTTGATTGTGGTGATGCCCCCTCGTCGCCAAATAATTCTGACTCGAGACGCTCTCGTCAATATTGAAAACTTAAATCCTATACAAATTACTACTACAGTTCAAGCGATATGCGATATTTCAAACGCAACAAGGGATCAGTTATTTTCACGCAATTTTTTTCCTCATGTTTATTCTTCAATAAGATCCCGACGTATATACACAAATGTAATCCGAACTCATTGCGTAGATGTAAGGTTTTGCTATAAATTTAATGTGGTCAGAATCACAATGATATTTGCAGATTGATCCTTTTCTATTTTATTCTTAATCATGCATTATTGATCTTAATAATATATTATTAGAAGTAGCTCATTATTTTGCTAATGTTTTGAAAATATATCAATAAAGATGTAATTTTCGTTATAAAATAGCATAGTGAAATATAAATCATTAAAAGTTAACAGATGATAATAGATAAAGTAACGAAAAAAAATGTTATATATTAAACACTTATCTGCAATATTATAAATTATTTGATTATAGGTCAAAAACTTTAAACACTTGATTAACGAATCTCTTGATTTTTTGTATTCTTTCGGCTATTTCTGGTTTTACATCTTTTTTTCCGATCACGGTTAACTATATCTTCGAGTTTTTTTAACATCCTTATACCTCCCAGTATTATGGAACCGGTGCTGACTTCCTTGCACCTCCAATGCGATTTGATATTTTTGAAAGAAGGCATCAAATTCCAATCCATTCAAGAAGGGAGGTCGATACTCAATTATCGGCTCCTCATTTAGAATTTCCTCAGTTATTTGAATGCAATTACCCTAGAATTTGCGATTTTTCTTGCCGAAGGCAGTCACAAGGTGAGATTCTGATTTCTCTATAATTGGTCTTAATATTGCATTCCTTGCCTCAAGCTCAAGAATTGTAGCCGTAATACGCTCAAAGAGGATTGGATACTGCAAACCAGTGTTTAATTTTGCTATATCAGCCTTATTTTTGGCATATTCCTCTGTAATTCGTTTTAAAAGTTTGACATTCTCAGCCTTAAGCTTTGCGTATTCTCCATGCTTAGCCTCAAGCTCGGCTTTCTCAGCCTTAAGTTCTGCATTCTTAGCCTTAAGCTCGGCTAGTGTGGCTTCCTTAGCTTTCTCTTCTAATAAATCTAATTCGGATTGCATTTTTAGTAATAAAAGATGATTTATTTAATTTTTGAGCTAACTAGCATAAATATTCATGTGATGAATTTTGCTTCTGGCCCGGAAGGAAAAATGCCAAGAAAAATTCTCGATCAAAATATGTAAATACCATCACGAAAAAAAATATAATTCGTGATACATTAATGCTTCTAACCGGAAAAATTATTAGCTATATATTTTATAATTTGTATTACATTGTATATGTTTCTATAACCGGAAAAATTCTTTATTTGATATATATGATAAAAATACGTGATAAATTACATAATAAAAATACGAAATATCTATATATGAAAAAATACAAAATAAAATCTATATCCACACTTCCTATACATACCTAATATTAATTACGTAATGGTGATGAAACAGTAGGACTTAATTGTGGATTCCGTGGTGGATTAGATATAGCTTGTTCTAATGCCTACATCAGTAAGCTTTTGTTCACAATCATAACATTTCTTAAAGTTAATAATAAACAAACAAGAGATCTAGTGTGTAATGTGTGTGGAGATAGTGGAATTTCGGCATGATCAAGGTGAAAATACTGTGGTATATCAGCTGGATCCTTTACAAGAATATTTAATCACATGACTGTGCCGGCAACCTGAATTCCTACAACCTCAAACTAATTACTACTTGGTCTACACGATAACCCTATGAAGCTTACCCCATCTAAAGTTTCTCTCCATAATTTCACTTCATCATCATCTTTTTTTGAATTACTGCAGATGACATGTAAAGACTCGGTATACAGCAACTCTATATTTTTTTCATTTTGTTTCAACAAGTCCATAATATCTGGTTTTTTTCCCATATGCATCTTACTTATTCCTATATTACGGCGAGCTCTACTTGCTAAACTTTGACGTTTGGCCATACTTAGATATATGTAACCATTAGGAAGGTCCCTCAAACTTGAACAAAGCAAAAGAATTATAACGTCTATTATATATGTTCCTTCACTCTGCTCACTATGAAATGTATTGGTCAAAAATGTGAGTTGTTCCATATTTCACCACTAATAAAAGCACATCAACAGATCCAGTATACTGATTAATTAGGTATAAATTTACTTACAGTATTTCAAGAATATGATCAGTTATTTTTACCAGTTTGACTTCAGTTCTTTTCAATTTTTATTATGAAAGATATTTTCCGTAACTACTGAATCATTAAAATTATTAAAATTACTCACAAATTCATTACACTTAATTACAACTGAACCTGGCATAACACATTTCATATTCTCTCAAGGTTCTAAAAAGGTACTCTTTTGTTTATGTTCCAAATTTTTCACAATATCTAAAGTATCACTAAGAACTATACTTGCTTCAGGGTCTTTCCACATAAAACTTAAAGGGTAGATATTCTTGAGAATTTGTTTAAATGTTCCATAAAGATTTATATCTGCCTCTGATACAGGGTGTTAAATATGTAACAAAGTTAACTTTTGAAAAAATACTTCAAACTATCCAATAGTTACCTCAAGCAAATTTTTTAATTCATTATTATTCTTTTCTATTTTCTCTTGGCTATGGTCTAAAGGAGTCTTCTTTTCTATATTAAATACTTTTAAGGCCTTCAAACCTTGAACACTAATATATCCACTCTCAGTCTATGGTAATGAATAATAAGTATCGGTGTATTAAGTAAAATTAGAATTTATACAAGTCTTAAATTATATTATATTGTATTATATTTCACATGTGTAATTTTCAAAAAATATAGCTGTACTAACTCCACTAAGATATTATTATTCTGGTTTAATAGTCATGCACAGTTAAAGAGGAGCAAAAATCTTTATAGGACTAACATTTTCCAATCTTTAGTTATGATATACTAAAACTAATATTTGCATTTACCATAGAATCATCATAAAATATGAAGTTTGAATAATAAATTATAATTTATACTAACTTGTAATAATACTTCCAAAACTTTTGTTCTTTGTTTACTTTCTTTTATTTTTAATAAAGATGAATTTATTACATAATCTATAGTAACTTATACATTTTTAAAAGAGGACAAAATATCATTTTCTATTGTTAAGTAAATCGCAAATATATTGCAAAGAGTATTTAATGATTCTTTTAACAAAAATATTTTAATTTTAAATACTAAATATACTATATTGATAGATATTTAATTAAATCAAAATTGTAAAAAAACATAACTAAAGTTTCCATCAACATCACTATATTTTCCTTTTAATATGTTTCATTATTTCTTTTTTAGTATCTTAACTTATAGATTAAAAAAGAAGTCAGCATATGCACAATAACAAAGAATTTACAAAGTACAGAGTTTACAATTCATATGTATATATTTCATGGTCAGTTACTTAAATATAGGTAAAAAGTTTATTGTACTTTCCTTTTATTACTTTTTGTGATTTCTTTTTATATTGCACTGAAGAATAGATTAAGAAAAAAGATAACATATGCACAAAAACAAAGAGTATATACATATCTCGAGTTAATTATTCAAATCAAATTATCAATATTTCTATTTGTAAAAAGTACAATATAGTGCTTTAGTTTGTATATAGTTTTGCGATAAATATAAATAGTGAAACAGTAAAGTTAATAAAAGTAAAAAAAAATGATATTATATTTCAAATAGTAGAGCTAATATCTCTGACATATATTTTTTACACAAATATATAGATGTAAGAAATACTAATTAAATTTAATAATCAGTGTATCGCATGACCAGTTTATGCATGCTGATTCTATTATATAAGTGGTACACTTGAAGCTCTGCTTCTTCAAATTTCTTCTATGACACATACAGTGACTTCCAAAATAAACACACAACAGTAAAATTAAATTTATTTTATGTAATATATAAAATTTTTATTATATTACAAATAGTTAAAATAATTTTATTAATAAATCTTAAGATTATTTATTCGAATCAATTATCATATGATTTAAATTTTGATTGGCTAATCGATTAATAATAGTAAACAAGAAAATCCTTGGTACATTAATATTGATACTTTTTTTAAACAAAAAATTTTAATAAATTTTTTTTTAAAAAATAATAATTAATAAAAAACTCAAATAATATAAAATATTTTCCATATTATATTTATTAAATTCACTTGAAAAAACTTACTTTTTTTTAATAAACTATAACACTAACCATTAAAAGATGACATTATATAATCGCTCTACTCGAAATAGGATTTAGTTCACAAGAAGTAGTTGAAAAATTAGGAAATGTTGACCATACTTTTATATTACGATTAAAAAAGAAATATGAAGAAACTGGATAAGTAGAAAATAAAGAAGACCAAGGAATAAAATAAATTTTGGAAGAATGAAATGAACAGGTACTCATATGCGAATTAAGATAGATGAAGTACCAATGGTTGTAGCACTTCAAAAATCTTTAAAAATAAATGAAAAAATTAATATCAGTGTTAATACTATATGTTGGATACTAAAAAGACATGGTATAATGACAAGAGTTAAATGTAAAAAGCCTCTACTCTTCAAAACTCATTATTATAAATGTCTTGCTTTCACGAAGAAATATATACATTAGACTGTTGAAGATTAGAAGTAAGTTATCTGGTTTGATGAATCCAAGTTTCAAATATTTAGTTCCAATTGATATCAGTATTGTTGAAAAAGAGAAGGAGAGAATTTTGATAATAGACTTGTTAAATTTACAGTTAAGTTTGGAGGTAGTAGTGTTTTTGTGTGGAGGTATTTTATATCTAAAGGAGTAGGATATTTATATAGAATTAATGGAGATCTTGATATTAAACTTTATTGTAAAATTCTAAGTGAAGACTTCATGAAAATTATTAAATTATTATAGATTAGAAGTGAAAAATACTATTTTTCAACAGGATAACAATTCAAAAC